GATATATAAATATATAAACTATGTTACATGCGTTATATGCATCTTTAATTATTTTTCCNTAGCAAATTTCAATTGAACCTAAAGCCGCCACGTCAGTTTAATTGATATGCTAATTGATTGACAACTAAGCAAGGTTACTTTTTAATTAATACAAACTTGAGGTTACATCTTTTCAAATGTTTCTCAATTAATATATAGGGGATTAGTGTGACGAGTTTTCTTTTGACTTTACAGAAAAATATATTGTATATATTGTGGAAATATATAAATTTTTGTAGCTCACTGGTATATCAAACCTTCATCCCTTCATCATATGCAACTTCGAAATTATATATAATTTTTCCTGAATTTTACTACGTTTCACATTTTCATATAAATGAACACTGAGATTGGGAACATATGGTCTAGTTATACTAAAATATGTTGGGAACATATGGAACATATGGAAATTGTATATAAATATCTTTGTTGAACAAATTGGTAAACACGTTAGGTTTCGAACTTAACTACACATCCACTATCATAATCTCATAATTTGAGTATTAGAGATAAACTATGACAAGGCTGTAGAAAAATGTACTAGAATACAGTATTTTCATATAATCCTGTAAACTAAATAAATCTCAAACTTCAAATTGAAAGGAATATGTGGAAGAAGAATCTGTGGAAGAATAAAATACTCAAATGTGTTAATTTAACTTTTTTTATATGAGTATCAGTAACAAAAAAAAATGGCAAAGAGCGCTTCTTCTTTGGTTTTCCTTCTTTGAGGAATATATTCAACAGCTTCAAGCTATATTATAACTAGTAGTATATTAATATCTATTAGACTTTTTCATACAAATGTTCTAATCTTCTCTGTTAATCTTGTAGTCTATAAACTGCATATTTTAAGCAATAATTAAAGCAAGACTAATCCACCACCAACAAGATCGTTGTCGAATTTGATAGGGAATATAAAAGAAGGAAAAAGTTTGATTTATTCTTTTTGGATGTAAATGGATTAATCTTAATGGATTTGCTCGAGACAAAAAAAAAAAAAACTCAAACATTTGTCATATAATAAATAGTTTTTTTGTTAACTAAAATTTAACCAGGTCTAGACACATGGTAGTGAAACATTGGTTTTGACCCTAAAAATATTTAGAAGTTTTTACATAAATATAAGTCCCCAATTTTAAACAAAATAAATTATTAAAGATCATAAAAAATGTTGCAAACCGGTGAAGGAGAGAAGGTGGAGGGAGGGGCAACTGCCCCCTATGAAATTATTTTTTTTCTTTTTTTGTATTTTCCTTGATTACTCAAAATTTCTATGGTTTCAGTGGTAAATTTTCTTCTAGTACCCCCTATGAATTAAAGTTCAAATTTGATCTTATCCCCGATAAAACTTTTGTCTAGTTCCACCACTGTTTCAAGCCCTCCAAATCTCAGATTTGATCTTGATTTTGTAGCAAAAAACTTATAATTTTAAAATATAAAGACATGATGCTTACTAAAGAAAACAAAAAAAGTTGTTCAAACAAAAAAAAAACAAACAAAATATAGCATATAATTTCAAGTTACGATATTAAAAAGCATACTCCAAACATGGTATATGTTTCAAAGTACAAAGGCATCCACTATAAGCTAACAAGTAACAAGCACCATATATGCGCATACAAAAGTCACTCACCTTTTTATCACGACCAATCATATGAACGAATGTAAATTACACCCTTTCTGATTTTTAATATAGGAAACTGAGTGAATGAGTGACTGAGTGGATAATCCTCAACTTGAACCGGATTCCTTCTTTTTTTTCATTTAACTTTTTCATTTCTAGTTATATAATAATAATACAAATGTTGATAACTTTAAATTTTGTTATTAGGAAAAGAGACAATTTGCTGAGATACTTAAATGGACTTTAAATTAGTGAGTTACTCATAATTTGACAGTAAAATTACTTTTTTTACAAAAAAAAATTACTTTTTTTACAATTTGTTCGGTATTGGACGAAAATGGCTTTCTTCAATTGACACACTTTTTTGTTGGTTACAGAAAAATCAGAATCCTAGTGTCACCTACTTCACTTTGTCCATATGTTTGCTAGATTTTTCTAAATGCTAAAAATAATATCAAATAATAATATTTTTGAAAATATAATATAAAAATATTATAATAGATAAAATAATTTAATATTTGATATATTGAAAACATAAATTACAATTGATTCCAAGATTTCAACATCTCTAAAATTAACAATCTGTTATAAATTTGATATTAGTGTAAGATTAATTGTTAGCGGTTAACTCATTTGTTAACTGATACATGTTTTGTTACTTGATAAATTTACTCAGCTCGAGAGAGAAATTGGAACTTCGACAATATTAATTTGTTAACATATAATACTTAACACATATATTAACATTTACAAATTTATTAACAACTAACATCTTTGTTAATAATTATGGTACATGTATTTGTTAACAGCTAAGACATTTGTTAACATCTCCAAATTTTGTTAACGGTTAATGCCTCTGTTAATAAAACTGATACATATATTTGTTAACAGCTAACACCGCATTATTTTCTATATATATTATTAACAATACATCTGTTTATATTATATATAGCAAATAATAATTTGAAACCTCAAGATAAAAAATATTTCATCAGATAAAGAAAGAACAAAATAATTAGAAGAGAGAATGATAAAGAAAAAAGATGATAAGAGAGTTTGAGGATAGAAAAGAAGTGAAATCGAATGAAAGAGAGAGAGTGTTAGGAGAGAGAGAGTGGTGAGAGTATAGGTAGAGAGACATTGTGGTCATTATTTTGAAAGAATCACATCATAGATAGTTTGCTAATTACAAGGTGATTTAGGGTGTCTCAGCAAAATCTCTCTTAGGAAAATGGTATAAAAGTAGAATACTTTAAACCTTGAAATATTTTCATTAGCACTTGAAACATTCAAATTAATATTTATATCACAAAAAAAAACCTTTAACTTAAATTACTTGTACATCGACTAAAAACTGATTTATTGAACATGTAAAAATGATGATGTGTCAATTTTCCCAATATATAATTATTTAATTAATAAATTAAAAATAAATAAAAAATCAAATTAAAATCAGAAAGGTAATAATTATTCTGAAAATAAAACAAAAAAAATCAAAACAATTAAAAATAAATAATAAATAATAGAAATTAAAATATATAAAATTAAATAATCATTTCATAAAATGAAAACAAATGAAAAAAATTCAAAAGAATTATAAAATTAAAAATACTTTTTAATAATTCCAAGATTAGTTTTTCAAGAAAATTGTTTGAGACCATCAAACCATCATCATCAATAGTTTGAAATTTTTATTGTCAATGATGATATGTCAGTTTTAAAATAAAATAAAATTTTGTAATTTTGATGCGATTTTTCCAATAAAAAATAACATATAATTCATTGACAATAAAAAATTTTAACATATAACTGTTGAAAATGCTGGTTTCAAATAATTTTTTTAAACACATAATCTTGTAATTTAAAAAAAAATAAAATTAATTTTTTGGACTTTTCTATTTTTGTGAATATTCTATATTTTTTATTTCAGTTTGGTATTTTTTTAAAAAATATTATTTATTTTCTGATTATTGAGTTTAAGTTTTGAAAATTTTATTTAATTTTTTTATTTTTATTTAATTTGTGATTTTTTAAAAAAAATATTTTTATTATTTAAATAATTATTTTTAGAAAAAAAAACTGACACATTATCATGTTTATCTGTTCAAAATGTTAGATTTTTATTTAATAAATAAATAAGCCAAGTAGAAGTTTTTTGTAATACAAATATCACTTTAAATGTTTAATGTGCTAGTGGAAAAAAATTTAGGTGTAAAGTGTCAATGAGTACCATTTTCAGGGTTAGTTTATGCGATTTCGTTTTGTTATTACTTTAAATGTTTAATGTGCTAGTGGAAAAATTTTAAGGTGTAAAGTGTCAATAAGTACCATTTTCAGGCTTAGTTTATGCGATTTCTTTTTGTTAATACAGTAAAACCTCTATAAATTAATAATGTTGGGACTTTAAATTTTTATTAATTTATATAGATATTAATTTGCAAAATATTTCCTTATTAAATTATTTTATTTTAAGACATATTATTTTTTTGGACAACAAGATATATTTATTCTAATATAAGAAAAAATTGATTTTAATGTATAGACATTAATTATTATTTTTTAAAATTTGAAATTTATATTAATTATATTATATTATTTGGTGTATATAATATATATTACATATTTACATAGAATTTAAATATGATTTTAGATATATATTACTAAATATCCTTAAACTATATTAATTATTAAGAGAATATAAAGATAATTCTATTGTAAATTTAAAACAAACCGTATAATGATATGTTATTACTTATATAAAATAAGTATACATAAAAATTATTAATTTATAATTTTAATGGGATCATATATTTACATAGAATTTTCCAAAAAGTTATTATATTATTATTTTATCGATTTGTGTCAAATTTTGTACCCGAAAAAATTTATTAATTTATAGGAATTATTAATTTATCGAATATGAATTTATATAGGTTTTTAATAGTAATAAGTTCACTTATTCCAAAATGTTTTAAGGGTTTGTGGTCAAGACCCAATCCTAAGAATATATGGGCCAGTAAACAGAACAAATAAAAAACACTCTTACTATCCATTGTTGTTCTTCCTCACTCTCCATCTCTCGTGCTCTGAGGTAAGCTTCTTCGATCCTCCTCTTAAATCATATAGTTTTGTGTCGAAACGCAAAATTTTCTCTAGCTTTCAGTGTTTACGTCGATATCAAAGCAAGAAACCTTAATTTTCGGTGGTGTAGAACTTTTACCTTGACTAATTTGTGATTTAATCGTATCTATCTAGCTTCATTTTGATTGCAGTGACGCAGAAACCCTAATTTCGTAGCCTCTGTCGCAAGAAACACGATACTTTAGTAAAAGAGATGAGGCGGCGTGAAAGTAGTAGAGAGAAACGTATTAATGAGAAGGATCAGATCATAACACAACTCCATCACTGTTTTTTCTCTCTTACGTATGTGTAGTGTTTAGTCTTTTGCTTATCTATTG